TATTATATATATATATATATATATATATATATATATATTGCCCTCCGTCGCCCGTCTGAAGTAAAAGCCCTTTCCGCCGGCGGCGATTGGCTATGCCCAACGGCAGTGGTAAGCCCTTGTTTTCAGCCTTGCGGAAGGCTTTCAAGGAAAACTTTGCCGAAGAACTTCCGGCCGCCTCCGAGTTGCCAACCCTAAATAAGCTGCTCAACAAATCGCACGGCAACCCTCCCGCCTCTCCCATCTCCTCCTCTGCTCCAACGGAGAGCTCGAAGAGGGTTTTCTCCGGACTAGCTGATAAGTTCGTTTTACAGCTGAAGAAAGCGTCTGCGAAAAACTCGGTGAAATCCCTTGTCTCTGGTAATGCGTCAGCCACTGCTTCACTTCAGAGTTTAATCTCTCCCGTTTTTTTCTTAGCGACATTATCGTTGATTGTTCTTATACTGGTTGGTTACAGCACAGGAATCATGCGCCGAAGTAGCGAGGGAGATTTCTTCTATTATTCCCAGTGCGTTTCTCTTTGGCCGTTTCTGTTCTATTTCCTCATTTCCTTTGTCTTGCATTTAAGCGTTTCGGTTTATTTTCAGGTTCTGATGACCCTGAATCACTTAAGCTACAGTCCAACTTCGCGGAGTCTTACCAAAATCAGTATCTGAATGGCGTAGAACGGAGGAAGAAGGAAACATCTAGATTTAGGAAGCAAAAAGTTATCCTTAAGAACGTGAAGTCCCGCCATTTTTTGAAACTTATGGAATTATGTGCGGAGAAGCTGGATGTTGAATCTACCCTAGGTTTATTTGGCAGGGTAGGTAGACAGATAAGCTTGAAGGAATACAAGAAATTGATAGAACTGTGGATAGGGAAGGCAAGAAACACTAATGGTGAAGATTCCATAGGCTACCTTCAGAAGGTGTTTCATCTCTTTGTATCCATGAGAGAAAGGGGTTTTCAGATTTTGGAAGATATTTATGCTCCCGTTTTTGTGTATATGATTGACATGAGAATGAAGGAGGAATTCCTAGTGTTTACTGAATTTATTAAAGATTATGACCATAAATCCTACAGCAAAATAGGTTACTTTGAGATGTTATTCTGGATTAAGATAGGTGATAAATGCAGAATTAAGGAACTATGCTCTTCCATTGTAGTTGTCAGGGGCGATGATGACAATAAATTAGCTGGTATTTGCTCTTCCATTGTTAAAATACATTTAAAAATTCAAAATTACATTTCTTTTTAGCTTTCATGAGTTTATTCCCTATTTTGCACGCTCTCTAGTGTAAGGAGATGATCAAATCGTCCATATTCTACGGAATTTGATTAGATTCTTAGCTCTTTCTCTTGAAGTCACTAGCATTCTATTGTAATTCAAGATTCCTTCTTCTTTGTTTTTGCCAGCAGTCAGTGGCGGAGCTAGAAACTTCTTATAGGGGGGGCCCAATTTTTTTTTTTTTAAGAAATCCATGATTGTGTGGAAAATATGGACCTCTTTGCAAGTATGACCTTCAAATTTGATATTGAATATTAGAAATAATTAAATTCACTGATAGGATGCTATAACTGTGTGCAATGTTGAATTTAAGTTTACTTACCAGCGTCACCTTGGAAATTGATTACAATAGAGTCATCAGAGTTAGCAGTCTCTAAATAGAAGCACCTTCATGTACCCACCAAAAATAAGCTACAGTTGCTCTAAGCTTGAATAAAAAGATACTAGATTTAAAGCAATTAGCTAGGCAAACAATACAGCCAACTGACACCCATTTGACAAAATAATGTCTAGGACTTCATTGACCAGAAAGCATCAGATGCTTTCCTAATGGGCTAAACAACACTAACTTAAAGCCTTTTCAATGCAAGAAAAGAGGCCATGCATCCACGTGATGAGTTCAGGGTAAGTAGATTAGCAATTTCCTAATGGGATCGAAGCATCTTAAGCTTAGGCATTAGCTTCTTCATTTGCATAGAGCGTTCTTTCTCTTCCTTGCGAATGGCCTCAGCACTCAGCTTGGAGGGGGAGGGGGGGGCACGTGCCCCCCTAGGCCCCCCCCTCAATCCGCCTCTGCCAGCAGTTCTCTACAAAATTCGGCCCATCCTTGCAAGCTCAACTATAGATGCTTTTTATATGATGAAATTTAATTCAAATTTATGAAAAATCTATTTAATAAATGTTGAATTACTTTTTTATGTTATTTGGTTTCACTTAATACTCATATTGACTCTGAAATGCATAAAAATGATTGAAGTTTGTTGATAAATGCACCTATGAACCTATTTAGTTAGTGTTTTGATTTCTTGAACTCTCTTTACTTATTTCTTCACTTGCAAAATGAAAGTTGATTTTGAATTAATAGAAATATATACTTCTATAATTTTGAGTAGAATATTATTAATATATCCACATTATTTAATATTTTAGTAAAGATTTTCAAATTTATGCATCATAAAGATACTAAATGTCTATGCAATTGTATTAACAATGAAGGAAACATATTTGAAGATGCTTGCACAAACATTTTTATATATGATTATTTTGATAGCATACTTTTATAAATTATTTTTGAACATTTTATTATTCATGGTGATTGAAAAATTTTAATAGTATTAATAGATCAACCAGCTCAAAAATTGATATTTGAAGTTGGTTTGAATCAAAATCAAAATATTCAATTTAGAGTTTAGGTCAGTTCACTTTTAACTCTGAGTTGATATCACTTATGCATTTCACACACGAGAAAAATGTTTTAAAATTAAAGATCTATAACTAGGACACCAATTTTACCATGTTAACCTGTTTTATTTGGGCGAATTAGTCAATGTTGCTTTTTTTATAGGTATTGTTTGCTGGTATTTTTGATTCACTTGTCTCCATTGAATATCACATTTTCTAACTATTTTTCTACAGAAAGTTATTTGTTGGCCTTATGTGAAAATGATATGGAAGAGGAGCTGATCCAATTGCTAGAAGTATTTGATTTGAGGAGTGTTTCTTCATTGGAGCTTGCATCATGTATATTTAAATCCATAGGGAGGTTGAAGCTAGAGAATTTATTTGAGAAGTTTATTTTGGCATTCAAGAATAGAGGTATGTGTGCGGTTGCTGTATTTTTTCTTTGCTTCTTTTTACTTTCTTATAATGACTGTTTCTTATAATTAGAACCTGATTCAATATCTTAATTAGTAATGTTTTCAAAAAAATGTGGCATTGTTGTGGATCGGCAAACAAATAAACAATTGAACATTACATCCATTCAGCATGCTCTTCATACATAATAATTGGAAGTGAAAGGGAAGATAATTGGTTTGGGCATTGGAAGACGGTTGGTTTGAGCATTGGAAGCTATTTGAGCTGTTAATCTTCTCTTGAACTATCAGCTGTTCGACCAAAGAGGAAAAATGCCCGCTAAAAAGGATGATGCATATCCAAAAACATTGAAACAGACTGATCTTTCCTTTTGAGAAACCTTGTATGACATTGCCTAGTTCTGCTGAAAATTTAAAATTTGAAAAATCATAATATCCTTGCCATTCTTCTTCATCATTTTATTTTACTTTCAGCCTAATTTGCCTTGATCCTGGAATTTAGCTTTGTGATTCCCTTAATCACTGGTTTGAAGTGTCATCTTCACTTATCTTCTCAGCGCCTTTTTCTTCCTTTTTTAGGACAGTCCTATGAAATACATGTGGTCAATTATCAACCGTTTCTTTTTAAATAAAACGAAGACTTGTCCTTTAACTTGCACTGGTCAACTCAAAGGCAGCATTCGTAGAACTTTGCATCAACAATAACTTTGGCATTGGTCTCTTGGAATGTGGAACATTTGCTCCATGAATAAAAATGTCATAAATTGAGTTTGAATTCTATCTCGCTGTTCTTCCAGTTATGGCCAATGCTTTTCAGTACTTTTCTAGATGAGATTACTTGAGGCAAATCCCTTGACGGACATCAGCTGGCATTGTCACTGCCAACCATGGATGCGTGGATAATAGAAACAAAAGATAAGCGCCAATCCAGGGATTTTCTTCCCGTTGCTTTCACTGTCACTCTATCAATAAAGTTTAAGCATGAAATAAGTTTTTTTATTTAGGCTTGATATGCAAGCTTGACCAAGTTGATTAAAGTCCTAATTTTTGAATAAAATGAACTTTTTTTAATATTATTCCTATATGCTGCAATTGTATGGCTCTATATTTGTGCTTGGCTGCTGCTTTCTACTAAAGATCAATACTTTGATTGGATCAAATGACGAATTTTACATCCGAAGTGCATGTCTATAATGTTTAACTGTTAATTAATGCGTTTGTGATAATTCTAGGAACAGAGGAAGATAATATTTCATGTTTCATCTATGATTATGCTGCCAGTATGCCTAATTTAGCGGTGAGGAACTTTTCATGATGATGCTGGTAATTTTTATTCTTTATCTGAAGCTTTTTTTAGGTGCTTATGCATATATTAACTTTCTTGTTTACCGCTTCTTTCCGGTAAGTGAATTTATATGTATATCGGTATTTAATTTGGCGCACAAAACTTGTTGCTTCTTGAAGTAACTATCATTTTTAAGTATTTATCTGTTGTCATGATCAATCATCCATATCTTTACTTATTCATTCACTAACAGGAATATTCTGCATTGCTTCATGATCATCTGCCATATCCAACGACTATTTAGGGTTGGCTTTAAGAATCCTTCTACATTCTTTCTAGCACGTGCTGCATGTGATGTTAACTCTATTTTACCATTATTATTCCCAATTCCCACCGTTCTTTCTTTAGGTTGCCCCTTTTCCCTCCTCTTCTTTTCACATTGCTTGGTATGCTGCTAAGGGTTTTGACTTTGATATGCTAAAGAGAAGTTAGTATTGCCAACATCTGAAGTCATTAGATACATTTAGTGTCTTGTCTACCTAAGTCAGTTTTTGTAAGCAGGTAATGGCAATGAACGGTATGTGTTTGAGATAAGTTTGCAGATGAAAAATAGGATGCAATCTAATTTTCCTTTTACATTAAAAGTCCTTAATTTTTGTTTGCTCACTCAAATTGAATTGTTCTTAAAGAATACGGGCTGAGAAGAAATGTTGTACAAGCATCCAAGAAAAAGTTGTAGTCCAAGCAGTTCCCTTGAAGCCTATTTGTTTACCTAGCTTTGCTTCAAGTCCAACAATGTTTTAATCTCTTATTTTCTTTAATTTTGAATTTAAATGACCTTTCCGTTATTGCTGTTTTGCTGAACTTGCCAAAAGAGCGATAAAAGGGGGCCTGTATAATGAAGGCTGAGATTTTATGATTAGCTTAAGTAAATCATGAAAAGGAGCTCCTAATTTATGTGACTTGCAATAGGATCTTTCATCATCAGCAGCCTTATACCAACTTTTAGGCTGGCCTTCTAATAAGGGGTTCTTTCCACTTTTAAGTAGCCCGTTTATCAAAATTAGATTCAAAACCTTTACCGGTAGTTTTGGATTTTGAAATATATTTTCTTCTTTATTTAGTTCAAACGTTGACCTTATTGGATCAAAGGAAAAACGTGAGAAATACTAATACCAAGTAATTCCGTTAAGATGCTGGCCCGTTTGACTTTAATCCTACCTGAATGATGCTTTTAGCATCATGATGAAGAATTCCAACGGCAATGCTCTTGTGCTTGTCATCTCCTAAAGTTTGTATTATGCTGTGCTTTGTAATCATGGAATTATTTAACTAGTAATGTTGAAGTTTTGTGCTTGAGTTACCTTTTCTTGACATTTATTTACCAAAGCACACATCTAAAATTGTATGAAGTTGAGTGCATGTTTTATATGCTTTATCTTTGTGCAAGTACACATGCATTTTTTTTAAGACCGTGGGATTGTTGCCTAACCTCCATCTCGTGCTATGGAACCTACGTGCCGGTCAGTCATGATAGGGTTCCTTGGGTACACTAATCAAGGGCTTTCATTGTCATTTTGATTTCCTATTGTTCTAACTCCTTTGAACAAAGCACTAAAATTTATGAAGGTTCTTTTGTAACTATTAACTAGTAAATGCATTTGTTCTAAGGGCACATATTTAGAATTAAGTTAATTTAAAAATAAATTAATAATGGTCTCCATCCATTTTATTATGCTTGGCTAGTTTTTTAAAATATCTTAGGATCATATATGTAGGGGGTCAAAATGGATTTTCAGGTCGGGTCCAATCCGAAAATGACCCGCCATTATTTGAACCGACCCGATTATGGAAACAGGTCAGAAATTTGAATCCGGACCCGACTCGCCTCAAACTCGGGTCTACCCGACTTGACACGTTGACCTGGGCGTACAGAAGGAGAGCGAGAGCTGGGCATAGAGTCGAAGGCGAGTGCGTGCGGTTGCGAGGCTGGTAGTGCACGCACAGGCCTTAGGGTCGAGCATCGGGGGGTAGGGGCGAGCCAGGTCACAGGTACAGCAGGCCGCGGGTGCGAGACAATGGCATAACGGTGTGGGCAGGAATGTGGGCGTGGGAGCAAGAGGAAAGTGGTGCGGCCATATGGGTTGAGCTGGGGTTGCGGGATTTGAGTCATTTTCACGTCAAATTCGGGATTTCGGGTCAAACTGAACATGACCTGATTTAAAAAACGGGTCAGAATATTGAACCCAAATCTGACCTATTTGCCAAACAGGTTGACCCGAACCCAAATTTTTTTGGGTTATCTGGGTTGGGTTAAATATTGACACCCTTGCATATATGATTGAGAAAATGTGGTTTGAGTGTAAAATTAGATTAATTTAATTTCATTATATGTATTATGTGTTGAAATGTTAACTTATACAACAAAGAGGCTTTTATGCTTGACTATAAACTTAAATGGCAGAACGTGTATCCTCATTCTAGTCTATATAAAATTTTGCATGTTTAAATTCTAAAGTTATAGGTAACAAGTATCAAATCAACCTAAAAAATATGTTGATGCATCCCACTTCAACAAATCACTATAGTTGCTGAAGTAAATTGCAAAAAATAATGTACCATTGGCAAAACACAATCAATCTTGCCTATACGGAATAATAGATCTCCCTGGTCCCATAAACAACAACCACTTTTATTGGAACACACACTTTATACCTTATATATCTGAACAATCACAAAAATGAGTCGTGTAAATGTGTTGGATCAATGGATGTATTTAGAATTTGCGTATTTTAAACATGGTTTAAAAAAGCACTCTTGGCACTGACTTCGAGGTGCACAAAAAAATGCATCGAGGCATAAGCCTCACTAGCCCTAGTTGTATAAGATATATGCCTTGAGACATTTGAGATAGAGCCTCAATAATATAGTGCCAAAAGTTTTTAATATAATATAATATAAAGCTCGGTCTACTACAATTACTCAACCTTATTTTTATTTTAAAGTTTTGACGCTTATGCTTCAATCCGCCTTTCATTGCCATTGCAAAATGTTTTTTATTTTAAATGTAATATAAAGTAAACACTATTTAGAATATTCAAAGATTATTTGGTTGATTATAAAATTGATACACGAAATTACTTTTTACTTTTTACTGATATCTTGAAATTAAAATAATATAAAAATTTCCCCATATATATATACGCTCAATCCTTATGTTTCAATCCTGATATATATATATATATATATATATATTAATTATATGTCAGGATTTAGTTTATGGGACGGTGCTGGAAGGGATGGCGGGATCAACATCAAATGGGATAATAGCGAGGTTGCAAGTGTGGGGGCCATAAGGTTGTTGGCGAGGCCCTCAAGAGGTTGTGTGAATGTCATGTGGTGGTCCTGTGAGCATAGGGATGATGAGGTCATTGTGATGCGAGTTGAGTTCTCAGGAAGGTCACAAGACAAGGTTGAGAGTGGGATGTTGGGAGGCTGTAAAGTGATGTTGCAAGGCGCGATGCATTTGGAATTTGCTTGAATCAGATAAATTTCGATTTCATCAAAATTTTACTAATTGATGTATTTAAAACCTTTAGAAAGACATCTTGTATTTATCTCACCATCAATCAAACACTCAAAAACTTAAAACCCTGGCACGCTCAAAGCTGGTTCAATCAAACAACCCCTAAATGTTCTACAAATTGGAACAAATTATACTTATCTGCAGCAGCCATCTTATTTAGATGAAACTTGAGCTCTCCACAGTGATGAAATTTTGGGAGGTCATTCTAAAAATTTGTAAATTCTGTCTGAATTTGTATTAAATTTTTAGGCAAATAGTTGGTTAAAAATAATTAGATTCTAATAACGTAGCCATTTGGGCTAAAACGAAGGAACGGTAAAAGCTCTTATTTATGCATCTCTGTTTGCTCTTATGAGTGAGTAAGTAATCGATTCTTAAAAAATATAAAACTCAAGTGGGAAAACATATGTTGGATAGTTTTGTTATTTGTTACTGATGTAGACAAAGGAGGGGTCAACTCATGTCCAAAATAAATCAATTTTTGACTTCCCTTGAGCCTACAAACTCAATAAATTTTGAGCTGGAATTTAGCTCATTTAGTTTTTAGTTCATTTATTGAACTAAAGGTTAGCTCATTATTAGCTAGGTTTTAGTTCATTAATTGTCATATTTATGTAGCTTTTTATTTATTATTTTATATTAAATTAAAGTTGTCTCTTGGGATTCCAAAATGGCTTTTGGAATCCCAAGATTTGTTTTGTTTTCCCATGCCATGGCTCCTTGGCTTCAACGGGTGGCTGATTTCCGTGCATTCTCTCCTTGATTCCCACGATGGCTGTTGGTTTTCTGAGCTAGGGGCTTTTCCCGTGGCTTTGACGCCTTGGTTCCGTGCGGCCTCCTTGGCTCCCGTGGATGCTCCTTCGATTCTTGGGCTTGGGCTGTTTTTCCATGCTAAGTGATGTTTAGATTCTTGTGATAATTTAATGTATGTGTCCTTTTGTATTCCCCTTTCATACCTATAAATATGAGGGGTTGTTTATGTTTGAATGAAGTGAAGAATATGTGATTTTTGGAAGCTATAACCTGTGGGTTTGCTTGGAAATCCTGCGGGCTCTTTCCACTCTTCTTTCTCATCCCCTCTGGAAATCCTGCGGGCTCTTTCCACCCTTCTTCTTGGCTTCTAACCTCTTTCGTCTCTCCGCAAGTGCCACTCCACCTGTATCCCTCTTCTCAAGTGAAGCAATTTTAGGGTGTCTTGTTTGAGTCGTTTGAGTCAAAGTTTGTAAGTCTTTATTTTATAATATTAAAGTTTATTTTGCCCAATTTGTCTCCTTTTAGTGTCTTTTCTATTATGTAGTAAAGCTCTTCTTTTGTTAAGCAAAAATTATAGGGTCCCCTATATTTTTTGCTTACAT